CCCCGAGAGTCCAGCAGGAGGCACAGTGGTGGTGAGTGGCACCCAGTTACAGATCCCCTACACACAGCCTTTTTACTGGGCTTTGCAAGGGGGACCAGAATTACACCCTCAGCAGCTGAAACATGTGATTATCAATAATGTACGTCTTTCCTGCAGCTAAACCCTTCTAGGAACAGTGAGCTGATCTTGCATTTGCACACTGTACCTCTGCCCTGCACCCTGTGGGGCTCCCAGAGCGAGCTCCGGCTGTCCAGCATCTGGGGATGGACAGTCACCACACACATACAGAAATCCAAATTCACCGCCAGGGTCTCTTCCCAGTATTACTCACGTGGACCAGCTGCTCCTGAGTGTCATATTCCTTGCTGCACCCTTCCCAGTGACAATTCGTCTCGTAAATAACTTCAGGCTCCTGCTTACATTCATCCTTATCCAAATCCTCTTTCAGGTCTGTCAGATGCTCCTGCAACACACCGTGTGTTACATCAAGTCAGCTTGTTTCCTCTGAATTCCTCAGTCTCTCCTAGATTACAGGGCAGGTGTTCATTGGTCATAAAAGAAAGGGGAACCCACAGTAACAATGTCACATACTTGATGATCATGAAATACTGAGTTAAAAAGGGCCTTGCAGTTACAGAGCTGCTAGAGACAGGCCAATTTGAAAAGGCTGGCAGGGGTGCATGTGTGTCTGATTTAGATAGACACCCATGTCTCTGGATTCCAAGTGCTTCCTGGTGTCAGCTAGATCGGATACACAGCAGGAGGAAAGATGCTAGAGTCCATCATGTTTATACACCCACAATGCCTAGAAAGTAACACTATTATCCATGCTTTGAAGAGACTCAGGGAGACTAAGTGACTTGCCACAGTAAGTCTTGGGTAGAACAAGGAATTGGACTAAGGCCTTTTGAATTCCAGGCAAGCACCCTAAACACTGGACTATCTTTCCTCTCTTGGGAAGCTTTTGTTTCCTTTGCTACCTGGCTCTATCTGGGCAGCATAAGAAAATGGAAGGGAAAAAGTAACCATTGAATCTTTTCATACCATTAAATAAGTTTGAGCGAGTTTTCTTTTATCCTCACACATCTGTCCTTCCTCTACAATGACAGGCAATAATAATACTTATTATTTATATGGTGGTTTCCTTCCTTAGGGCACTTTATAAACACAAACTAATTAATCCTCAAAACATTCCTGCAAGGTAGGAAAATATCCATATACCTATTTTACTAACGGCAAAACTGAGGCAGAGAGTTTAAATAACTTGACCAAGACTACACACAGAGGCCGTGTCAGAGCAGAACTCAGGAACTGCTGGCTCTTGCTCCATTCTTCGTCTACTAGCACAATATAGCCAGTGGAGCCTATGGTTGGGAATCTTCCAAGTTCTAACCCTGACTTCTTGTCAAGTTGCTTACATCTCTCCAGGCCTTATTTTCCCCATCTGTAAATGAGAGAAATAATATTTTCCCAGCTTTCTGGGTATTCTATGGACTGGACAGCTGAAGTTTGGAAAGTGCTTTCAGCATCTACAACACTACGTAAAGGCAAATGTTTTATAATTAAGATGTAATGATGATTTAAGGCACACGCCTTTTAACAGCCATATGTATCACAGGCATTTCCAGCAAGGCGCAGAATGGCAGTACACAGACTGTTTTCATTGGACAGGGACCATGAGAAGCCGGGAACGTAATGTTATAGCAGGGGTTCTCAAAACTTAATTGCACCATGACTCACCCTCTTTTGGCAACAAAAATTGCTGCATGACCCCCGGCCACAACACTACAGCTTCAGCCTGCCTGAGCCCTGCTGCCCCGGGTGGGGAGGCCAAAGCCATAGCCCGAACCTCACTGTCTAGAGCTCAAGGCTTTGCTAGGTGCTGAACAAATACAGAAACTATCCTTGCCTAGAAGGGTTTACTATCTAAGTATACAAGACAGACTAAGGATTAGGCCAGATGGGAAAATTTATCAGCATAATTATCCTACTCCCGTAATACTAGAAGGAGTGTCTGCACGAGGAGTTATAATGCTGTAACTACAGAGGTATAGATGTACTTGTAAATTTCCCCACGTAGGCAAGCCCTAAAGGTGGAGGGTAGCATAGAGATGAAGTGACATGATCAAGGTTACCCAGCAGCTCAGTGGCAGAAGTGGGGTCTTCTGATTCCCACTCTAGTGCCCTATTCACTGACCCATACTAAGGAAAAGACATGATTTTAGTGGAGGCCAATGAAAACTCATTTGAAAAGGGATGATATGCTGCGACCTTATGCTATTATACTAACTTCAAGCTTCTTGTCCTCATTTTCTTGTCCTCAGAGACTCTACCACTTCTCACCTGTTGACCAGTCTCATGTTGCCTCCATCCCCTGTTCTTCAAGTCCATCTTTGAGCCCTGTTTTCTCCACTGTTCCCAGAGCTGCTATGGCACTTTCTTCCCTCTTACCCCTTCAGCATGGAACACGCTGCCTGAGGGTGTTCCATCAGACCACTATCCTCTCCTCTTTCAGACCTCCTTTCAAGACCCACTGGAGTGTAGAGATAATTAACTAATTAATGCTTGTGCAGAGCATGGAAGATGAGAAGTGCGATGTAAAAGTATTATTATTAAAGCAACTGTTATGACATCACGTGCCAGGTGTGACTTATGTACATGTTTTACAATTCATGCATGGAGACATGTGTTCTAATCAGTCCTTGACTGTTCTTTTGAAAAGGCTGCTCTGATAACAGAAAAGTGCTGCAGGTTATAGAACAATTTCTGAGGGCGGGGGGGAGGAGAGGGGAGAGAAATGAATCTTTCAAACATATCAGAGGCCTGGACAAAATCAGAAAGGGAAAAGTCTTAGGACCTGGCTTTCAGAGGTGCTGAATACCTGCAGCCCCCACCAACTTCAGGTGGAGATATGGATAGAGCTAGTCAAAAATTTTCTGTCTAAATGTCACCTTCCCCTCCCTGACGCCAAAAATGCAGTTTCGGCCAAGTGCAGGTTTTGCTGAATTTTTTTGGTTTTCCATCAGGAAAATTGAAATGAAGTATTTTGGTTCAGGTTGGGTTGACTCAAATCAAAATATATCAGTGTGTCCAATTGAGTCTAAATATTTCATTTTGGGTCAGTCAGTCCTTAATCTGTGACTGAATTGCCATGTCACCTTGTGCCCATTCTCATCTATGGGCTTGCCTGGACTATATCTCCCATACTGCACTGCTGCCGTCCCTATGGTTGAACCACTATCGGGCATCATGGGAGTGCTATGCTTGCACTGCATGATGGGAGATATTAAGCTGGGGAGCCTGGCTCATATGGGGGTAGGGGATGTTGAGTTGGGGAATGAGGCACCCAGCCACAATTCCAATGAGGCACCAGAGCAGCCAGGTAGATGCTGGCCATTGGTGAGTTGAAACAAAATTTAACATTTCCAAATCAACATACTTTATAACGATAGACTCAATGGGCTCAATCTATGAAGCTAAGCAAAGAGAAGATACAGGGTTAACTTGATTATAGTCTATATATCTACATAGGGAACTAATATTTAATAGAGGGCTCTTCAGTCTAGTGGAGAAAGGTATGACACAATGCAGTGGCTGGAAGCTGAATCTAGACAACTTCTGACTGAAAATAAAACATCCATTTTTAATGAGGACAGGGATTAACAATTGAAACACTTTACCCTGGCTTGTGGCAGTATCACGCATTTTTTAAATCAAGAGTGGCAGTTTTTCTAAAATATCTGCTCTAGGAATTATTTCTGGGATGTTCTATGGCCTGCTTTATACAGCAAGCGAGTTTAGAGGATCTAGACTTGGCATTTATACACTTTTTATTCAGAAAAATAATTCTATGTCCAATTAGGATTGAGATAACAACAGATGTCTCCAAATCAGCCTTTTCTTCAGGACACAAATCCCAATCTTGGATGAGCCCTGGGTGCAAGTGCTCAGACCTGCCGAGTAACGGGTCTCTATCGTCCCAAGCTATCTGTTCCTTCTGCAGGGGCAAGATTGCCCCCTCCAGTGTATTTCCAGTGCTTTGTTCAATCAGTGTTTAAGCGCTGTGAGCTATGGAGCCAACACTTCTCCTGGGAGAGTGAGCCCACAGATCTCACAGGAACCGTTTCCAAATAGCCAACCTACATTTTTCTCTCGTTAATTTCATCCAGTTATTGCTAATTAAATCTTCATGGATCACTCTGCATATTTCCTCTCCTACTGGGCAATGTACTTCATTCACAAGACACTGAGAGTCAGAGAATAAGAAAAATACAGTTGCATGGCATCCCCCATGATTCTGTAAATGGGATCCCTGGTATTGGGCAGGAAATTTCTTTCAGATCGCTTTGGTTTACTACAAGAAATAAAGAGGCGGCCTTATTAGCCTGGTGGGGGGAGGTGAGGGGAAGTGGACAGATTGGTTTTTTAGGTCGTGTGCTTTCTGCTATTGTGTGTTGATGCACTCCTAAACTCAAAGCTCAAGAGAGATGCCTCTTTGCCCTAATCCTGCTGACTACAGCATGTTTATCTTTCCCTGATATGCTATCTTCATCAATTTTACCAGCCCCTAGATGATTGCACAAGTTGCTGTCCCCATGCATCATGCTGAAACCTGCTTCTGAGCCAGTGCAGAAAGAGGAATTTGTCATCAACTCTTCTGTTCACTTGACAGTCACACAGCCTAATATTTCATGAAAATGAAGTGCCCAGAGCACTCTTGATAGTTTACAGGTGTGATAAAGGACAGTCGGATGGATACTGTCAGCCATTAAATAGTTTGCAAGAGCAGAGCTCTGAAAAGAAAACAAAGGTCCGTGGGCCCTTCTCTGTGTCAAATGTTGTGTCAGTGATGTAAAGAATGATGCTATGAGCAATACCTTTGAGCGGAGAGAAGAAGCCCTTTCTGAGCGCTTTCTACCTACATGCAAGACTGCCTCATAATCTATGTTTGCTTTGAGACATCAATACTGCTTGCTTTGCACTGTAGGAGAGTCAAGCATCATTTTTATAAGTTACCAGAGCTGAAATAGTCTGTCCTCCTCCCTCTCTTTCTAGGCAATGAACCAGGAATCCAGCTCCCACAAACCCATACAATGCTTCCCTCGATCAATCAAACTCTGCTTCTGTTCCTTGCTGGGTCTCTTTATTTGAGATGAGCGCGGTTGCCCTGCAAACCTTGATGCCTCATTACAAACTGCAGAGAAGCCTGAAGTGACTATTGTTCCCACAGACACTGCAGGCCCATCCACTCACTGCGTGAGGCTGACAAGACCATTTGTGCCAAGAGGGTTACCTGTGTGGCTGGGGAAGCTGGTGGCATACCCTCAACTTCAGTCTTGACTTTGCTGCGCTTGTGAATGACTGGATTGACGGTGCTGCTCACAGCTGACTCGCTGCTCTGCTTGTTCTGGGAAAGAAAACATTGGGGGTGATGTGGCATTGGGGTTTGAAGGACAACGGAGACCATGCTGCCTCAGAACATCATGGCCAGTGTATGGCAAACTGGTGCAGAATTTGGCTGGTTATTCGGGCCACCTGCCCAGAATGCAGACCTAGTGCTGGCTGTCTTCAGAGGGTGAATTTTATCCATTTGGAGAGTGCAAGAGAAAGAAACACACACAGAGAGAAAATAAGGAAAGAGGGAAGGCTTGTAAAAACCAGTTGTACATATGTACCAATGCATTTCCCTCTCAGAACTGCCCTAGACCATGTCAAATTTGGCAAATTGTTGTTTAACAATCACACTGTCACCCTTCCTCCCCAAAAAGCAGCAATGGTTTATTACTCCAAAAACGATGAAATGTCAGTGTAAGAAACAGTATAGTTTCTATACTCTGGTTTCATGAGGTGTTTCCTTTTTACTGTGTGTGTACATGAGAAAGGAAGTACATATTTGGCTGTGCTCTGGAAAAAAAAAATAAGAGAGGCTACAAGAGAAAAAGCAGAATATCGCACAAATGCACACACAACAGCCAATGAAATGAAATATTAAAACTGTAATTACATTGCTGTTAATTGCTCAAGATCCATACAATATTTATGTAAATGGGCATCCCACTTCCACCACCTATATTATTTTGGAACTCAGGTTGCTTAGGAATGAAATAAAGTGGAAGACAACAAAACTAGTCAAATGACCCTTCAATAACAAACCAGAGTGTGCAGACCAGCATCCAAGAGATACTCTAGAATAATAAACTAGGCTGGATAGTCCACTCCAGAACAATAAAATACAACAGTAAACTGAAAAAGGTATGTAATGGGGTGAAATAATTCTTCTGATAATGACTCAGTTGTAGTTTAAATTTCTAACTAGAGACTAAGAAGTAAAAATGATTAAAAATATGCCACGTGTATTCACTAATATTCAGCTTGTGTGTTTACTCGGGGCATACATTTACTTGGTGTCAGTGTATTCATTGTGCATGACTAATTTTGAAAATTCGGCCCAAAAGCTTGTAAAACTGGCAATAAAAATATCAATACAATTTATGCTCTGACCAATTGTTCATTTCACAAATTTCTTCCAAACATTATTTGAAAAGTGAGGGGTTAAAATTCCTTTAGAATGGGTTTCTAAAGTGAAACACAGACCCTCCTGTAAGCACAAAAGGGATACTGAGATCTTATGCGGCCATCAGTCTTAAGATGTTTTGCTTTCCGTGTCTTCGCAAACTCAGTGAGGGAAAGAATATGGTGTGTTAAAAAACATCTCCAGGATTCACAATGTAAGTAGAGGAGCTGGTCAAATAAAGGGAAAGCCAACTAGTGAATAAACTACTTCAATTTGATTCACTGCTGCTAGACTCCAATATAGTAAAGTGCTTAAGCATATGCTTAGGTTCCTTTGATTTTAATGGAACCTAAGAACTGAACTGTTTCGCTAATAGGGATCGACATATACATATGTTAAGTGCTTCGCTGAATCAAGGCCCTAGAGGGTCATAATATGTTATTTACAAATATACACACGGCTGCTTCACTGTCATAAAAAATGTTTTGTAGTTGTATCAGTTTGCTGTTCACTGTTTGTCACGCTCCTGTTGGGAGAAGTTTCAGTCCAGTCAAGGAGTAGAAAGTGTAACATGACCAGTCACACAAACATCAGAATCACCATGAACATGGGTGAAATCCTGACCCTACTGAAATCAATGGGAATTCAGGGGCCATGTTCCCCTTAACTGATCTACTTGTAACCCATCGATGAGTCTTTGCACCCCACCCGGAACACATTTATGGGACTGCTTGACACCCTAGGTGGGACACCCTCATCTTGCACTGATGAACAATGGATACATGAGCAGAATTTAGGAAAGGCAAGAAAAACTTAAACCAAGAAAAATCCTGAGATTTTTCCCCTCAGATTTTCAGATGCATGGAGCACCCACAATGCCACATAAAGCCAATGAGAGCGGAAGATGCTCAGAACTAGTGACGTGAATGGGTAACAAGTTAACTGGGTAATGGTTGCCGGGTAATGGTTAGCTGGTTACCTGGGAAGCATCTTACGGAGGGCTACTCCTGGGGCTGGGAGCTGGAGTAGTGAGATCCCGCCAGTCAGTTAACCGGTTAAACATTAGGTTAAGCTAATATTTAACAGGTTAACTGACTAACTGGGGGTATGTCTAGACTACATGGCTCCGTCGACGGAGCCATGTAGTCTAGACATACCCCCAGTTAGTCAGTTAACCTGTTAAATATTAGCTTAACCTAATGTTTAACCGGTTAACTGACTGGCGGGATCTCACTACTCCAGCTCCCAGCCCCAGGAGTAGCCCTCCGTAAGATGCTTCCCAGGTAACCAGCTAACCATTACCCGGCAACCATTACCCAGTTAACTTGTTACCCATTCACGTCACTAGTTCTGAGCATCTTCCGCTCTCATTGGCTTTATGTGGCATTGTGGGTGGGATTTTACATCCCTCCTCAGAACCTCTAAAAACCAGGCCCTATCTGCCGGTATGACACACATCACATGACCTGAGCTGGCTCCTACCTGATTTGAGTCTGAGATGCAAGTGTTGTTGTTACTGATTTGAACAGGCGCGGGGTTGACAGAGATAACCGCCATGTGTGGTCGTGGCGGGAATGTGGGCGATGGCTGAATCAACGGAGGCGTGTGTCCAAATGCGGAGCTCAACCCTCTTTGCTGGCTCAGGATCTGCTGGTAAGTCACTGGGTTAAGGGGATGGGGGAAGCTGAACGCTGGACTGCAATAAATACAGAAAGAGAGCAGGACAAATTACAAGGAGAAGTTATTTTAAAAAAGAGTTAAAACCTTGAATAGTGATTGGAGTAAGGGTAGAACTTCCTGCGGATTATGGACAGAGGATAAGGTGCAGAAACTAGATTTTCTTTTATCTTCCATGTCAGATGCTAGGGAATATTTTTAAAATTGGTCTCATCTGTACTTTGGTATATTGATGGCCTCCTTGTATTTACTCACATTGCTGCTGAAGATTTCTTTGTTATGGTGCTTGAAAAGAGTGGGTTACAGTGGGAAGGGGTACCCCATACCTCTTGCTTTGCAACAATGCAAGGTTTTTCCCAGGTAGCCCTCTTTTGCAACTTCCCAACTTGTGAGCACAAGAGAAGTCACCTGGCTCTCAGGCACAAGTTGCAGCAGGAACATTTTAAAAAAATCAGTGTCACCGTTTTAAAGATAGGAAATGTCCCCTGCATTTAGGGGACCTCTAAAATGTGCATCCCTTCTCCTACAGGTCACTAGTTCAACTCTGATGTTGATCATCCTAACCAGAAATCATTCCCATCTAATGGTTATTCGGTTGCCAGTGTGGTTTCAGACCAGGATGTAGTAGACAAGGTATTCACCCCATAAAAACGACCATCTGAACTGTCAGCTTTACTGGTAGTGTTCTTATTCTACTCCTATCAAATCTGGCACTTCAGGGGCCGATCCAATGATCATTCGTACACGTTACTTTACTCACGAGCGAAATTACCCATTGGCACAACTGCTCACAGGACTGGGCTTTAATTAACAGCATGTTCACGATTTGATTGGCAATAACAAATCTGACAGCGCAATTAAGGCTGCTTCTATGCAAAACCAGTTAACAAAACATAACCAAAAAAGCAAAGGGCAAGTCACTACCCTGTTAAAAAGGCTAAATAAATGTCAATGGCTAATGACATAATAAGAGCTTATGACAGGCACTGTAGAGCAACTGTTCTATATAACTGAGCCATCAGAAAACTCACTTTATAACATATGACCATCCCTCTGTGGTGAATTGCATTAATTTGTGTCTCTGAAGCCACTGATTTGACTTGTGTGTGGTTAAAAATTCTAAAAAAGGCAGAGTGTACACAATCTATTAGCGGTGAAATTGTTTTCTATGTATGACACACACTTGAGATTTATGATCTATCCTGTAAATACATATTACATGGTTCTGTTAATGTCTAGAAGCTACTTCTTAAGGGTTATGACCCCATTGTGCAATATACAGAGATATAATAAAAAGTTTATAGTCCAGGTCTAAGCCTAGAGACTTCAGGCTGATGCATTAGACCGAACTCATGGAAACAGTGGAACAATTGTGATGAATAGTTAATATTTTGCAGTTTCCTACAGCTCGATTTATAAGTACTTCAAGAATTTTACCTAACAGCTTCTCAAATAATGTTTCAACTTGTTACTAAACATACGCTCAATCAATTTTTAGGCATGCGTCGCTTCTATGAACTTTTGCATTTCTTTCTAGGTGCCCATAAGAACATTATTAATAGGAAAAGCTGTACCTAACTTCTCAGTAGTCAAAATAATAATGCTACAGCATGAAACCTGCCTTAAGCAGCTACTCAAGGAGCTGTTTCTTTAAGGAAAGTGTTTTCTAATTAAGGATGGAACAGAATTTTACTCATGAGCCTAGATTTTGAAAAATCGGTTAGACTGTTGTATTCATACAGGAATTAATTGGTTTAAATCGTGGCCAATACATTCCGGGATACTTTGGGGCAGTCTTCTCAGATGTGAGATTTCCTAATAAGGCCAGTCAAGCCATTCACAGCAAACATTTTAGTAGATGAATTTAGCCTCTCTTGTGCTAGCAAAGAGGCATGAGCATATTATTATTATTATTAACAGAAATCTGACAACCAGTAGTCCCTCCCTGAAAAATATATACACTCTAAAGCAGCATCATATCTACCGTAGCAGAAGAAACAGGCTAACTGTAAATTACTCTTCCACATGCATGAAATCAAAGAGAGGTTTCTTTTTAATATACAACACAGACCCACCATACATACATTTTGGGAACATGGTTCCATACAATCCTAGATGTCCAAAGCTTAAAAGGCTCATTTTGTACAGCTTTAGCTCTGACAATGAGGTAATTAAATAGGCGCAAGATAAAAGCAGCCAAAAATCTAAATGCAGCTGCTCAAACTGCTTTACCTTATTGCCCCTGCAGATAAATGGCCATAAGAGCCACTAGCAGCAGAACTACTTCTGGAGTTATTAATATAAGCCACCAGGGAGTTAGGGGAGGTCCGGATCATTGTCTGGAGATCAATGCTAGCATCAGACAGCGGGGATATGGAGAGGGCTCGCTTTCTGCTTAATCTCGGCGTCACCCTGGGGCTTGAAAATCTTGACACTGTAGGAAAGAAAAAAAAGTGCCTAGTTAGACAAAAGCACGCTTTACCGTTTCCGTTTTTATAGGAAGAAGAAATGAAAGCAGTTAACAGCATGGGACTTCGCCATGCAAAATTTATTTTAATGTTGGGAGTGGGGATTTGACTGGGCAGCGTGTGGAAGAGTTGAGCATGCATACACACACATGCTCGTTCTCCATCGCTCTGTGACTCGCACGCACTACTGAAAGTCTATTTGTGTTGCCACTACAGTCGTTCTTGTGGAGGAGGAGAAGCAGGACCCAGGTGCGATAACTATAATGGGGATTCTTCTTTGAGGCACCTGAACTCAGATGCAGGATTTGGTTTTGCCAGATTTGCTTGCTCTCAGATGCCTAATTCCACCATACAGGGTCTTCTTGCAGCCTAGATTCAGCAAGGTACATAAACATGTGATTAACTTTGAGCATGTGAGTAATCCCATGGAGGTTGGCATGGTAGCTAACTGAATCAGGGTGAGTAAGTCCTTATCGTGGATTATCATTTTCTCACTTGCACTGACAGAAGTTCGGTGGCTTCCTCAGTGAAAGGAAGAGAAGTGTTAGGCCACCAGTTTCTTAAGCAAATAGGGCTCAATCATGCACACGTTCTTGGGGTCTGACTCATAGTCCACTTAATTCAATGGGAGTCTATGGACTCTATGGAATTTGAATTGACTTCTATGGAATTTGAATGAGGCCATGTCTTCACTTGCTGTGCCGGAGATCGATCGCCTGGCGTTTGATTTAGCGGGTCTAGTAAGGACCCCCTAAATTGAACACGGAGGGTGCCCCCTCGTCAGTGCTGGTACTTTTACTCCTGCTGGAGTAAAAGAAGATGACTGGAGCAGCCCGTTGACCTCCTGCTGTGGATATGGCACAAAGCTCAGCTTAAGGGATGCAACTCCAGCTATGTAAATAACAGTGTGTAAATACTGTTATTTACATAGCTGGAGTTGCATCCCTTAAGCTGATCTTCCAGGTCTAGTATAGACCTGGCCTGAGGCCCTTGTTGCATTATCAAAGCCTGCAGGATCTGCTGTCTACTTCAGGGCAGGGATAGTCTTCTTGATGTGTGTTGGCTACACAGCACCTAGCCCAGCGGAGACCTGATCCATAAAGGGGCTCAGAAGTGCTATATAATACACATTCCAAAGAAATAACACATCCATAACCGTGATTTTACTCATTTTGATTTCCTAAGAAGAAGAAGAAGCACCAGTAGCCAGAATTTTCATCTAAATGAAGAGTCAGAAGGGCAAATACCTAGATGTTCATTCACTAGAGGAGCCTGGGCCCATTTTTAATTCGTTTTAACTGAAAATAATTAAGAGACGTATTTATTTTGTCAAATATTAGCTAGATGCTGTAAGGCTACAGAAGAGGCACTGCATTCTTTCCGAACTGGGAGGTTTTTAATGCCTGCTTTAAGGGCCCACCTGCTCACAGTGATGACTATGGAAGCACTTAGTGCAGGCACCTCCAAGATCATGTGTCCCACATTTTACATTCAAAGGGACTGCTTGGCTCATTGATGTGACAACGGGACACACTGCCCTGTGTGTATCATCCTTCGCAGAGCTGTCTGGAAAATGGGGGGAGAGCTAGGTGAGGTAAGCGTTGATTCCCATACGATGACGGTTTGGGGACTTACGTTAAATGGAGTGGAGGCCCGAGTCTTAGCAGAGGGGCAACGTTCTTACCAAAAACCACCATAAAAATGGGCAAGGGTTGGCACCCTTGTTGGCAATCGCAGAAGAGAGGCTCTACTGAACGAGAAAAGAGGGAGAGATGTAGCAAGCTTCTTGTGTTCACTTGCACACACTTGTGAATACTTGGGGGAGGGGCAAAGTGGAAGGACCAAGAGTGCTAGAAGCACAGCATGGGGAGAGAGGCTGGCTTCAGGCTCCTGGAGAGCAGAGTGCTGCCATCTCCGGCGCTGTCAATCAGCACTTTGCGCCAGCACTAAATTAACTTAAAATTACAAAGGGAAAAGCCCCGGAAGATTACTCTGAGCATGGTGTTTTTTCAATGACTTAGTGGTAAGAAAACTGGACTGGAAAAGCACCATATCACAGCAGAAGGAGAAGCTTAGACGTGGTGTCTCTGCCTTTGTCCAGGAGAGGGACGGAAATGAAAAGGGCAGTAGCACGATGCTGAGAATCCAGTTAATGAAAGAGGTGAGACTCTGGGAGCACAGAAAGTAAATTAATAGTTTTAAGAAAGCCTATTTGACAGCTCAAGCACAAAGTGAAGGCTCTTGCCTCTGAGGAGCCTTCCAGAGCCGGGGCCCTGTTAACAATTGTCAGTCAGGCATGTAGGCATTTCCACCTTATTGGATTCCGGATGTGGGAGTCTGAAATAAATAGAGAGCTACGACTAGACTAATTTGAACTCTCCCTGCACTTCGATGTAATTAGTGATTGGAATATGCGACTTGAGGGGGCGCATCCTCCCCTGACTTACAACATCTCTACCTCAGTGGGGCTGCACAGGTGGTAGTCAGGGCAGAATTTGGGTCTGAGCTTTGCTAAATATTAAAGAATCAGATCCAAATGTTTGGCTGAGGCCTATCTACATTTGGAACTGTTAGTCACTCCGAAAGTGGTGGGTGCAGCATATGTACTGTGGTTGATCACCTAATTGCCTAGGTGTTTATATTTAGAACATGCCACTGCCGTGTAATCCAAAATGGCTGCCTGCTAGGCTCCTGATCACTCCTGCAAGGAGGTTTAATAGTAGTTCGAATTAGGAGCTTTAATTCAAACTACCTAGTCTGTGCCGCGTGTAGCTGCGGGCAGGTAGTTCAAACTACGGGGCATTTAAAAATGGCGGCGCCTGGGAATATGCAAATGAAGCCCAGGATATTTAAATCCCAGGCTTCATTTGCAAATTCGAATGCCTACATTAGCCACCCTAGTTCGAACTAGGGTGGCAGTGTAGACATACCCTAGGTGAGAGTGAAGTGTGGCAAATTCTTTCTTTTCCACCAGCAGTCTCTCCAGAGTCCCTCTCTCACAGGGAGCTTGTGAGGATAATTATATTAAAGACTATGAGTGGTCCTGTGGCAATAATAACTCCCGAAATAACTATTTCGAAATAGCGTGTCCACACTACAGGGAAGCTTCAAAATTAGTCCAAGGAAGGCTCCCATAATGTGGACGCACTATCTCAACTTAGAGCCCCAGGAAGCACTGGGGAGTAATTACTTTGAGTGACTCTGGGGAGTAGTAATTTCAAAATAGCAGCAGAGAAGTGTCCACACTACCGCTATTTTGAAATAAGCGTTATTCCTTGTGGAAAGCAGGAGTTATTATTTTGAAAGAACATGCTTGGTCGTGTGGACGTTCCACTTGTTACTTTGAAATAAGGGGAGTTATTTCAAAATAACTCCCTAGTGTAGACCAGGGCTTAGAGACTAACCAAAATATACAGAATCATGAAGATACAGCTGAAAGAGAACCTACTGTAGAAGGTTATACAACGGAAGTTACAGCTATTAGGGCATATGTGCAGAATGAATGATGAGAGAAACGTTAAGACCCTGGTATTCGGCATAATGGATGGTCCGAATAGGAGAGGCAGACCCCACAGAGAATGGGTAGATGATATAGTAGATTGGTGCAGAGCTAGTCTACAGAAACTAAGCCACTCCGCACTGGACAGGGAAAGATGAAAGGAAATAGTGAGGGCGGCATTGGACACCAACGGGCGTTGAGCCCATAGTTGTTGATGATGATGATGAGTTTTCCTGGGCAGAACCCACTTCCTCAGATGAATTGGACTGGAAATAACAGAAACTAAGATCTATATATAACAGCAGAAGTAGTATCTGTCAATTGTAGGACCCGTGTTAATGAGTCTCTCTAAGGTGCCACAGGACTATTTGTTTTTAAAGTTATAGACTAACATAGCTACCCCTCTGAGATACAATTATTATTTACATAGCGCCAAATGTGTGGTAGGCACTTTCCAGGCAATTATGAGGAAAAGGTCCCAGCCTTGCAGACAACACATAGATGAGGGGTAGTGAGATGGGATGTAACAAAAAGCAAGGTAGAATGCTGGTTCCATGAAATGTGTGCTAGATCTTAAAGCTGGTCATTTAGTTAACCCTTCCTTGAGATGTGTAGTAAGATTTCACTTCACTGTGATCTACTGTCCCTGTTTTGTACTGATGTATTGATGTGCACTGCACTTCCACACCTCATGATAAACGGATTTTATGCTCACAACACGCCTGCGTGAGAGGGAAGAGCTGTACCTATCCTTGTTTTACAGATGTGGACCTGAAACACAGATAAATTAAGTGACTTTCCCAAGATCACACAGGAAATCCGATCCAGGTTTGGGAACCAGACTTCTTGAGTCTCAAGACGGAGTCCAATCCACAGACCATACTATCTCTCTGATGTATAGGAAGCATTTGGACTGACTTTAGACAACTCCTTTCTGTACTTCCATTTCACTGTTTCTCCTCAATCACAAGGTGAAATTGCACCTTTGCTGTGGGTAATGGTATGCAACCAAGGGATCCAACCACTCTTGTCAGTACTCTGTGCCTTCTAAGTGGCAAGCGGGGGATGGACAGGCAGTTTTAAAGATGCAAATGCATTATGGATGCAAACTTAAAAAAAAAAAAAAGGAAGTCTGCTAATAGCAATAAAAACACTATAGGATTTGTGTGAACCCATTTGAATAGTGAAGTCTACCATGGTGCTGCTATTCCTGGTCTGATGAGAAGGTAAAAAATAAACAACACATGCTGAGACTGGCTAGAACCAAAAAGTGAGAAGCAACCATAGCCAGACTTTGGCTATATATCTGAAACTCTGCAGATGCCCCCTTAAAATTCAGGTCTAAATACACTATCTTGCAGCCAAACAACTCCAAACTTCAGAAATGTTCCAATCTGGATTCAGATCAGAAGACTGAGGTTGGGGCCTCACTCTAAACACAAAAGAAAAGGCCAAATGTCTTATGTA